GGGGGAGACGCAAAATCAGTGCCCATAAATATGTCTATAAATAAAAATATTGATTATTGCCTCATAAGAAAAGGTTTTAAACAAAGGGTCATATTTAAACAATATGATATGTGGGGCCCCTGTTGTTCCCTATTTTTTTCCATGCCACATTCCTTTTCCATGGCTAGGGGGCACAATCTGGACGGTTCTGCCAGGGGCGCAAGATCACCTAGCTACGGCCCTGCCAATCATATGTGCATAAATCAGTCGTTGCCTGTATAAAACAACTCTAAGTGGAGTGCACCTCTTTAATCTTCTACCCTCGGGCAGGAGATATAGAAGTATAATCAGTCATACCAACAGGCTAAAAAACAGTTTATATCTATGGGCTGTTAGGCTGCTGAACGGAAAATAATATAGTGCAACTGACTTTTGGGGTTGGTGTGTCGTGCGACAAGCACAAAGAGTGCAATGAGATTGAGTGTTTGTGTGGAGGGGAGGGAGGTTCAGTTAATTTCATTGTACACAGGTTGTACATTGACAATAAAGGTATTATTATTATTATTATTATTATTATTATTATTATTTCCAGCAATTTTAAAAAAGAAGAAACGCAAACACACATAAATACGTTTTATCTATAAATATATTTGTGCTGAAACCCTCAGATGGGATAGCTTGGTAAAATTTGAGATTTTTAATCTAGGGTTGTGGGTTCAATTCCAACATTGGGCAAAAAGATTGCTGAGGGGTTGGACTAGATGATCCTTGGGGGTCCCTTCCAACTCTATGATTCCATGGATACAACTTGCAAAGAAAAGCAATAAAATGTTTGGAAATGCAATAAAGCATTATAACTGGATGGAGGGGGGAATATGAAGCTCATTTTATCTTCACAGCAACCCTGAGAGGTAGGTTAGGCAAAGAGGGAGTGACTGGCCTAAGATCACCCCATGAGTTTGGTGGCTGAACATGGATTTGAACTCTTCATCTTAGATTGCTGGCCTTGAAAATTTTCTGGTTTGTAAAGCTGTAGGCAACTTCATTGTTATTTTTAATTACTCAACCATTAAATAATTGCTAGTTAATATTAGTTATGATATCAGCTATGGTTTTCAGCCATTTCTTACCTTATTTACCATTGGCTTGCTTTTATATATTGACATCCCACCCTTCAGTGTAAGGATGCTCCATGTAAAATCAATAAAACAATGAAAGCATATAGCTGTAATAAAACAATGGAGTAAAACAGCAGAGAATGGCAGTGTTAAGACAAACCCGTCATGTCTTGAAAGCCCCAGGAGCAAAGTTTTTAAAGACTATATTTATGGGAAGACAGCCACCTGCTTTCCAGGAAATGGCAAAATGATACACTGCCAAGGCGGGAGTCGGGAACAGGTCAGGAATAACTCTCAAGGTGTCAGCGAAGTTAACTCTTTATTCAAGGAAACAAAACAGCTCAAGCAGGCCTAGTGTGGTGTAGTGGTTAAGAGCGGTAGACTCGTAATCTGGTGAACTGGGTTCGATTCCCCACTCCTCCACATGCAGCTGCTGGGTGACCTTGGGCTAGTCACACTTCTCTGAAGTCTCTCAGCCTCACTCACCTCACAGAGTGTTTGTTGTGGGGGAGGAAGGGAGAGGAGATTGTTAGCTGCTTTGAGACTCCTTCGGGTAGTAATAAAGCAGGATATCAAATCCAAACTCCTCTTCTTCTTCTTCTTCTTCTTCTTCTTCTTCTTCTTCTGAGCACAGCAACTCTTCCCAGTAGGTCTTGCCCCAAAGAGGCAGTTGCGAGGACTGAAGTTCCCCTCCTTCCCACCGCTCCCTAAGTCTCCTCCTCCCTCCTCCTCTTCCCCAGCAACCTGAGACTTCTTCACCTTGTCTGTTTTTGCTGTGCCCTCTTCATACCTCTTCTGGTTCTGAGAGACCAGGGGGAAAGACAGCTGGTGGCAGCAGGAGATGGAGACTCCCTGACTTCTTCAGCAACCTGACTTATCTCTGCTTCTTGGTTCCCCTCCTCTCCTGCCTCTGATTCTGTTCTGCTCTCTGCCACAGACTCTCCCTTCTCACTAAGCAAACCCTGTTAGCTCTTCAGCTCCTGACACTTCCATTTCCCAGTCTGCTCCCTCTTCTCCCTCTGACCACTCATTGTCATCCCACCACCAATCCTCGGGCTCTGAGCCTTCTTCCCTTGGGGGTTCCCCAACTGGTGCCCTTCACCATTTCTCTATCCAACCAGCCCATGACCTCTTTTAAGGATGGGGGAGAATTTTGATTCTGTACTCATTTGAGGTTGAACCTACTTAACATTTTCTGAAAGGGTATGCAATCCTTCAAACTTCACATTTCTACAAATTTTACAATGCAGTTCTATGACTAAATGGTGTGCCTAAAAATGCAGGTACTAGAGTAAAGTGTGCATAAAATTTGGTGAAAATAGCATATGAAAATACACTATATCAGGTGAACTTGCCTCGCAAAAACGTGTGTATTAGGCAAAATTGCATACAAACAAAGAAGAAATTTGCACTGAAAAACTGGCGGATTTCCCCCATGAAATTAAAATTGCAAACCTGTGCAGAAATGTGGAGAGCTTAATATAAGTGTTGAAAAATGAGAACTGGAGGAAAACAAAAATTGACATATTCAACCATCCCTAATTGGAACATCCTCATGAAATAAATGAAAGACAGTTAAGGGTATTTGCTAATTTCCAGATTTAGCTATTTTCCATTTTAAATCTTCATTAATACACTTTTTTTTATTTCTGTGTGAATTAAATACTTATACTTAATAAGCCATACTGAGTTCAGTGGAATTTACTCCCAGATTAGTGAATATAAGGTTCTAGCAAGAAGAGAGGGCACAGCTCTTGAAGCAAGATAGACCTGGGCATTTGAGATGAACATGAAAGTGTCTGCAGAACGGGATAATCCTCAAATATGAAATGGGTCTCTGAGCACAACAGCAGCAGACATAATTGTAAATGTTTTTTTCCAAGCAAACAAGCGTGTATTCAGGTGGGATTTATTTATTTTTAAATGCACCTCTAATCTCACCTTCTGTAGATGCTTCAAGAACTGGGGCTCCCATGGTGGATGCTTAGAGCACTTGATTAAACAAAAAAAAAATCCTGTTGTTAAGTAAGGGGTAAAATCAGCTTTCTGAAAGAGCTACCAGCAGGCTGCCAGGAGAGGAATAAACTCCTTTAGGTAATTTTAGACTCCAGATTTATTGGTCCTCTCACCCAACTGTGCACAGTCTTTATTTCACTACTTCAAATGTGGTACTGGCTGCATTTAGCGGTTCTCCTGCTCATTCTGCTGAATGGGTCTCTGGTTTTCTGTCCCAAAGTCCTGCCCTGATAGCACCACTGAAACTTCTCCCCGATTCTCATCTATCACCTGCTGCCAAGACCCAGTTTTCTAATGCATTTGGATTCTGTTCCCCAGAAATGGAACACAAGCAATTTTGTGCACTTCTGGTCCCACATTTTGGCCATCCCTTTGTTGATGTGCCTATGGCTCTTCTCTTCCTCTGCTCTGTTATTGGTCGTAGTGGGAAAAGAGAAATCAGCCTTGAGCAGGGTCTAGTTTTCAAAGCTGAGGTTCAGCAGCCTAGACACAGAGTATAGGGGCATCAAGGGAACAGGTGGATAGCTCGGTTGGTGAAAGCATGGTGCTGATGATGCCCAGGTCAGAAGTTTGAGCCTTGTATGAGACGGCTGCATATTCCTACATTGCAGGGGGTTGGACTAGATCGGTGTTTCCCAAACTTGGGTCTTCAGCTGCTTTTGGACTACAACTCCCATCATCCCTAGCTAGCAGGACCAGTGGTCAGGGATGATGGGAACTGTAGTTCAAAAGCAGCTGGAGACCCAGGTTTGGGAAACACTGGACTAGATGATCCTCGGGGTCACTTCCAATTCTACAATTATTTGATTCAATGGTAAGCACCGAGGGCCTTCTGGCAGTTCCCTCCCTGCGGGAAGCCACGTTACGGGGAACCAGGCAGAGGGCCTTCTCGGTAGTGGCACCCACCCTGTGGAACACCCTCCCACCAGATGTCAAAGAGAACAACAACTACCAGACTTTTAGATGACATCTGAAGGCAGCCCTGTTTAGGGAAGCTTGTAATGTCTGATGCATTACTGTATTTTAATATTGTGTTGGAAGCTGCCTAGAGTGGCTGGGGAAACCCAGCCAGATGGGCGGGGTATAAATAATAAATTATTTATTATTATTATTATTATTATTATTATTATTATTATTATTATTATCTGCATGCAGGCAAGCAGAAGAATATCAGAGGGAAGCAGGATGCACTGAGAGGTATAGAAAGCGCTGAAGTAGTCACACAGCTCCATGGGCGTTCCTTTTTTTTAATTGAGTTTGAGAAGATCTTGCTCTCCCTTCTTGAGATTAAATCTGAATTGGGTGTTTGTGTGCAAGAGAGAGGAGCTGAGCAAGGTAGAGAGCTTAAAAGCTCTTTTTGAACTGGGAAAGCCCAGTTGTGGGTTGTTCCTGTGAGATCTTAGAAGCCCCAGGATGTTTGCGCAGGGACAGTTCCAAGTGTTTGGGTATATACGTTTTTGCATATACGCAGAACCCTTGGAACCGAACTCTAAGATGAGATCATGCTGTATATGCAAATGTGGATGTTGAATAAATTTTTATTGACATAAGGAAATCAGATACACACACACACAATTCTTCCAAGGAGCCTGGTGTTAAGGTTACTCAGGGATTTTGCATTTTAAAGCAAACAAACCCAATTTGCAATTCCTGGGCTAATAAATCAGAACGCAGGTATGTTTCAGTTTTTTAGACTTTTCCGAATTTTGCAACACGGTTTTCTGCTGAAGTGCACCTAAATCCAAATTAAAATATGCAGTTTGTGAAAAACAATAAGAGAGAGAGAATGAATGAATGAATGAATGAATGAATGAATGAATGAATGAACTCCAGCAGGCTCTTCTGGTGTCCTTATGTTCTTGACTCTTGTTGGGTTCTGTCTTTCAGACGAACCATGCCTGGGCGACAAATCTATCTTCTGCCAAATGGAAGTGCTATCCCGGTACTGCTCCATCCCGGGCTACAAGAAGCTCTGCTGTGAATCTTGCAGCAAACGTAGCAGCACCCTCCCGCCACCTTACCTTAGCGAAGCTGCCGAGACCGAAGAGGGCATGATGATCAACCTCCCCAAGACTTTGGCTTCTCCGACGTCTTCAGTCCCTCCTCGCTCTGAGAGGCGTGGTTCTTTGGGCAGGATGTCCTTGGCAGAAGAAGACAGGCATGCCCTGATCCCCAATGCCTACGGAAGGGCCAGGGTTGCCAGCCCACCTCAGCGGAGAGTCCAAAGCCAAGCGAGGAACAAGACTTCTGGGCCGGTTGCAATGCCGTTACAACTGCCAACCATGAGTGGGCACCTTGCGACCCACACATCCTCAGCCTTGTTAGATATCGGTCCAGCTGTGACACAGAACAGCAGTTCAGCTGGCGTCCTGTCTCCAAACAGACCCTCAAAGAAAAATGAGAAGCAAGCGGACAGGCGGCAACCTCCGAGGCCTTCCACTGTGGAAAGATGAAACTTAGAAATGAAAAAGGGGGGTGGGAGATACCTAAAGTGGAGAATGTGTCTCCTTGCTTTGTTTGGAGTACGGTGATGCATGCAAACCCTTCCAACACAAAACTTTCAACAAGTCAACTGCAGAAAAGGAGGTGGGAGGAAAAAGTGCTGGCTCACTTTCCAGTGACATCCATCCTTCACTCAGTTCCTCCTCTTCTTCCTCCTACTCCTCCCAACATCTGGCCACCCCAAAAACTTTGAAGGGAAGCACCAAAAATCACACCGATGTAAAAAGAAGAAGAAGAAGCAAGTAGCTGAATGGGTCGGCCATTTTGAGGGTGGAAAGTATGATTGATTAAAAATAAAGGAAGGAAAGAAATTAAATGTTGCTTTTGAGGGGCGGGAGGGGGCAACCAAGCAGAGGCACCAAAGTTTACACGTCTACAGCGTATTTTTTACTGTGGAACATTTGACCTCCATATGAATTGTATTGCTAATTTATCTCTATAAGCAAATGCTAGAGTATGGTTCACCTTTGTCATGTACATAGGCTTGGTTGGCACATCATGCTGAGCCAAAGCATGGCTGAGCACGGCCACATGAAGATGCAGGCTCCCAGAGGGCGATTCAGCTGTGTTGCTCCTCCCCAGTCATTCTGCTACTTAGCTATGAGTTAGCTTAGTACAGGGTCCTGTGAGGCTCCAGAGATTACTGGAATACAACTCCCATCATCCCTGCCTCTGGGCCATGCTGGCTGGGGATGATGGGAGTTGAAGTCCAACAACATCTGGAGGGGCACAGGTTCCCCATCCCTGGCTTAGTGTGTCACCTGAAGCCAGGCTTGTGGCTTAGCTCTCCTGTACAAACCATGAGGCATAAAAAACACACGCAGGCCATAGTTTGGTTTTAGCTTGTTGTTAACCTGGAGAGAGCAGGCCCACATGCCTGTTAGCCAAGCCAGTTAAATAATGCAGGCAGAGTACACAAAGAGGAAGAATCCTCAGAAAACTGTGAGAACACTGGAATCAACCTCAGTGTATAACTTGAGGGGGAACGAACAGAAAAGTTTATTCATAGTCAGGAGACATTCAGTCAAATATACAGAGGGAAAATTTCTTCAGAGTCACACAGCCAATCAGGGCACATGCTGCCTTTGGAACCATCATGTCTTGCTGCCTGGTTGCTAAGCAACACTTCTACCCCGCCTCTAGGCTAGGTGGCTTTAACAGTGGCAACAGAATTAACCCTTCAATTACAACACCTGGGTTCAGGTCCCACATAACAACAGCACAGCAAACAGAAAGGATCAAAGCAGCCACAGTCTCCTTTCCTGGAGCCTGCTCTCTCATGCGCTCATGCTAAGCTATGCTTCGTTTTAGCACAATGTGCAAACCAGGTCATAGTGCATATAATGGATAGAGAGGGAGGAAAAACATTGTTATTTTTTCAGAGTTTTGTGTTATTCAGCCATTTGTTTGTGGACTTTGCATTTCAGGATCATGTTTAGGTGCCTGCTGTTCAGTTCTGCCTTATTTACAAGCCATCAACATGTTTGTTTTTTGCTGGGATCCGAAGACCTGGATACAAACAGTGCTGCACACCAATCCAGGTCACCAAATGGCTTTGGACATCCGTGAAGGCTTTCTAGATCTCCATTTCCCAGCATGATTTCCTTGTGCTGCCTCAGACTTACTCTAGAGTATCTCCCAACATTCTGATGTGGGCACAGTATCAACTGAGGGAAAGTGTGCCGGGAGGAGAGGTGAAGTCTGAAGACCTGAAAGGCCGGCCTTCACTCCCAGCTAGGCTGGTGAAATATACTCGGAGTCGAGTGTGAATTTCATGCTCTTTATTCAGCTCATAGTAGCAATGAATGAAACTTCTCCCAAAATGCCTAGCTATATATACATTATTTACACAATGGGCCCCACGTGATTGGCTAATTCCGGGCTGCTCCTGTAGGCCAATCAGGTTGCAGATTCACTTCCTCCAGAAGCCTGATTGGCTGCTCCTGCAGGCCAATCAGGTTGCTAATTCACTTCCTCCAGAAGCCTGATTGGCTGCTCCTTTATATCCTTCCAAGGGCATTGGGGTGATCATCTCAGTCATGCAATCCATGGCTTGGAGAGATGAAAGGCAGCAAAAAGTGCATGTTCTAAGTTGATTCATTCACACCACTTTAGGTATGTGGGGTCGCTGAACTGTCCTGGCAAAGAAAGGGAAAGCAATTCTCCGTGCCTCTGGTGGGTAGGAAACAAACATGCAACCTAACACCCCAGCCTATACTTAAGGGGGTTTACTGAGGCCTGGACTCACAGTGCCTTCTTCTTTTGCTTGTACCCCAGTGCAGCATCAGTTGCACATGGGCTCTGCACACCAATCCCAACATTAGATGGTGCAACTGAGATTGCAAATGACCATGATTTACAGTGCGGTCGGTCACAAGTGGCATTGGCACTGCCTTGTCTAGAAAACGTCCAGGATGGTTTGGCCCATCACAGGGACATCACCAAAGCTGCAAATTTAAATGGAACCTGAGAAGAAATTGGTGGAAAAGGTGAAGATAACCATGGGCACATCCTCGATGAAATGAATGCTAGAATTTGGGGGTCACTTGCTATGAGAGAAGGAGGATGTAAGGATTTACTGACGGAGCACATGGCTCCTGCCTGGAGACATGATAATAGCCACCTACCTGAAGCTGAGCACAGGGACATAGGAATCGGCCTTATCTCAAGTTAAACCATTAGTCCATCTAGCTCAATATTATATGCCCTGATTGGCAGGATCTCTCTTGGGTTTCAGGCAGCTTTCTCTCCCAACCCAACTTGGAGATATCAGGAAATGAAGCTGGGGCTTTCTATGGGTGAAGCAGATGCTCTCCCTGAAATATACTCAGAGTCCTGCAGAGATTTCATGCTCTTTATTGCAGCTTGTAAAACAGTGATTGAATTTCCCCCCCAAACCTCAGGCCTTTATATACATTGTTTACACAATGAGTCCCGTCTGGTTGGCTGATTCTGCTTCCCTCCTGGAGCCTGATTGGTCTGCTCCCACAGGCCAATCGGTTGTTGCATTCTACAAACCTACCAGCCTAATAGGCTGATTAACGTAATCCTGGAGCCTGATTGGTCTTCTCCTGCAAGCCAATCAGTTGTTGCATTCTAGGATCCTACCTGCCTATTGTTCTAGGCTCCAAGCTTAGTAGTCTGGTCGGTCCTTCCAAAAGAAATTGTCTGGGGACCCTGTGTATGCTACCTTGAATTCCAGGGGGGAAATGAAGGGATACAAAATTAATCACTAAGTAAGAAAAACGATCTGTGTGCACACGGCTCCAAGTTCGGTTCTTGGCATCTCCAGGACCAGAGTTCAGAAATGCCCTTACAAGAGACCATGGGGCACTGCTGTTGGTCAAAGTATAGAGTACTTGAGCAGATGGACCCAAGCTTGCCTGACTGCCTTTCTTTTCAATAGGGCTTGTGCATGAGAAGGTCTTGCTTATGGCACTCCCCTGGTGTGCAGTGAAAGTATGGTAATGTCCCTGAAAAGAAGGTGACTTAAGTTTACTTTTTAAAAAATAAAAATAAGAATCTGCTAAATTGCCTGTTCGTCAAAGCCAAAGAGCAACTCCAAACTAGGACAGGAACATGGTGTAGGAGTGGCAAGCGCTGGAAAAGCACTTAACTTTTTCATCGGCTTCAAGCTGAGAGAGTGCATTGACCAGCTGCACCACCATATATGCATCCAACTGGGACAAATTGCCAGCCATTTGGGTCACTATCAAACTTGTCAGGCAACTTCTCTCTCTCTTTGTGTGTGTGTGCGTGTGTGTGCAGGGTTTCGCTGTAAGGTACTTGTATATAGGAATGAAAAGTAAAGCTATTTATTAAAAGTTGGTTGTGGTGGTTTTCTGTGCCATTGTTTCATGTCCTGAAAACTTGCGCTTAACTTCCTCCAGTGTAAAGTGTTTCAAATTGAATTTCACACACGGCTCCAAAGGGCAGTTGCAGTCTAAGCATGTTTATATGCACGTAAGGGCCTCGCTGCAGAGGACATACCTTAAAAAATGTAGACGTGTGTCAGCTGAGCTCTTTCCTATTTAAATTACCGAGCAAGGACAGAGAGGGCCCATCCCACCAACATTTTGCATTTTGCTTTTGAAATGTCATATCTGAATCTATTTGAAGATTTATAGCATGTCCTTCCAATGCTATTAGCTCTGTGTTCAAATATGCCTTTTCAATTTCTTGAAATGTTTCTTCCCCGGTGAAAGAGGCTTCCAGTTATTTTTGTTTGCCTCTTTCTCAGGGTGCTTTAGAATTATTTTAGACTTTCTTTATCATTTTAGCAGCTGTAGGGATGCAAGAGCACATCCCATCCGCAGCTGGCTGTCAGATGCCTGATACCAGTGTGGTTGCTGATTTTGTTTTCAAAGGCAGTCTTTCCTTTTACCTTGGCAGGGGGGAAAGTTTTTACATTGACTTATTTAGAAGTAAAGCCATGCCAGTTAAAACACACACAACTCAAACCAATTAAGGGCTGTCAGACTCACAGTAGGTAACTTACCCATCTACCTATATGTACAGGAAAGTTTTCATGGAACATGGGCACCATATCTGCTCCTGAGGGTTGGGGAAAACCCCAGAACAGATCCAGGGGCACATGGAGAGCCCACAGGGAGAGGAGAGGGATTGGACGTCCCATTGAACAGGCAGAAGTCCTTGTACTATATATCCCTTCTCCTCCTCCTGGAGTGTAAAGTCCAGTAACACAAAACAACAGTAGACTAATTTTCCCCACCCTGCTCCACTCAGTTGCTGCTTGTAGTGTCAGAAAAACTAATGAGCCAACTTCAATAGATACAACCCACAGAACAGAGATGAATTAAACATGGAAGATGTGGAAACTCCTCTACAATATTTGTAGATTTCACTCACGGAACAATTTTGATTTGATGCCGCAAAGACCCTGTTATCCACCAGGATGCCACATTTTAATGTAGGAATCCTTACTAGCAATGTTGCCAGTCTAGTGCAACTGGCATTCCAGACACACATGAAATTCAAAGAGGAAGAAAGTAATGACACATTTTGTACATCAACATGAGCAGAGATTCTTCTTGCACAGAAATCCCACCTAAACATGCATGTCGGTGTGATTCTACAGCCAACCTCCTGAAGTTCCTTCCCTATTAATTATCAGCATCCACCATTCCGTAGCCGTGCCACCACCTCCCTCCTACAACTGCGCAGAAGCACTCCCCCACAAATCCGCTGCTGGAAGCTTCCTTGCTCCCAGGTGTATTGCCGTGCAGGTAGATGGACAAATCGGTTTCTCTCCATTTTGTCATTTTTCCAATCGTCAGTTCCACCCACTCCATTTCCACATCAGTTTGTCATTTTGAATACTGGAACTAGGTGAACCATTGAGTCTCACTGTCAGGCAGCTTCTGATGTTCCTACTGGATTCTTCCCAGAGTCCCCTGAGCCCAAAATCACGTCTAATGGAATGGCATAGCGCCCCAAACAAGCAAAGAAAGCAGGCAACATTAGGCTGGGAGCCTGAGTGGCAGTCCTATTATATGCTATTGCAAAAATGACAGGACAGGCATCCTGGCTTGTGATTTTGAAGTGGTGCTGGCTGCATGGTCTGTAATCAGTTATTTTGATTGATTAAGGTGCATGTGAACTGGAGAAGACGCAAGGGAAAAACAACTCACAAATGCCATCTGCCTTATTGATTGAGAGCAGTGAAAAGATAGTTATAAATGTAACTGGACAGTATTTGGCATGCCAGTTGTCCAGCTTAGCATCTGAACTGCAAGCTTGGCTAAGACCATCTCTGGTATAATCTCCTTGAATTGATATTCTCCTGCAAATCTCCTCCTTATACTTTAATCAGGGGTCAGCAAACTTTTTCAACAGGGGGCTGGTCCACTATCCCTCAGACCCTGGGGGGGGGCAGACTATATTTTGAAGAAGAAAAAATTGAATGAATTCCTATGCCCCACAAATAACCCAGAGATGCATTTTAAATAAAAGGACACATTCTACTCATGTAAAAACATGCTGATTCCTGGACCATTCGTGGGCCAGGTTGAGAAGGCGATTGGACTGGATCCGACCCCCGGGCCTTAGTTTGCCTACCCATGCTTTAAATGCAAGTTGCTCCAATCCAATTCTAATTGTGCGTTTCAAAAGGGAGGGGGCACTTGTGATAGATGCGGTAGAATGTGGATGGAGATGCTTAATTGAAAAATGGTGCAGGTGCAGAAATTGTCCATGTTAGCGGCAGACTGACTCCCGAAAAGGCTTGGTACCTTTGAATGGGCTGTAAAGAAGTACCCTGTTGAGGATAATACTGCTAAATAACTCATAACACATTTAATGACTGCAACTCAACTTACCATGATGAAGAATTGGAGGACTCTGAATACAGACATAATTCGATATGTGGTTGGTGCAAATATGGGACATTGCTCTGATGGACAAATGAACTGACAGGATGCGGGGACACAGAACCAGTACAAAGACAAGTGCCTTTCAAATGAGATGCTTTGATTTTCTTTGGAATGCTGCCGTGAAAGAACATGGATTCAGAACTCCTACAATTTGCGGCAGACTGTGAATAGATACATTCCTTTAAAATTTAACTGAAGATGGAACATATCATTTCTGTAGTTTTCCTCTGCAACTATTCTGCACAGGGGGGGGGGACTCCAGACAATTTTGTTTATCCTGTTTTGTTTTTGTTTGTTTTGTTTATCCTGTTTTAAAGCACAACCACATCTTGCATAGGGCTTACATTCCAGGGATGATGTATATGCAAAAGCATGTATACTCAAAGCGCTCCCTTGGAACCAAGCATGTGCAAACACACCTAGCCTTGCAGAGCTGAGCCCT